TTGGGGTGTTGGGGGGGGGTGGCACGATGACTGTCGTGACTGTCGTGACTGTCGTTTCCTGTGTTTTCCCCATTCTTGTGTTGTATATGAAGAAATCACCGGCCTCAAAAAGCGTAATAAACTAACGCGGTGTCCATTTTAGAGTACACAGAAAATAAAAAATTACTACTACAATAATTAATATCTTCAATAAAAAAAAAAGAATGAAAAAGTTCTTGATTTACATCGGAATCCCATTCCTACAGAAGGACATTACTGTCACGATGACTGTTGTTTCCTGTGTTTTCTTGTGTTGTGCACTTGTGTCTCTGTCTGTGTAGTAGGCCGTCGTAGTGCTCAGCTCTCCACAGCTGGATGACCACTTCCGAAACCAAAGGTTACACAAACGTTTGCGACATCCGGAGCTGACAACACCAAAACTTGCGTGATAAATGGCTTATGTTACCGTTCCATGTCACTTTGACAAGTTATAATTGTAAAAAAAAAAATAATAATTACATTTTCTCATCAAATAAGGTCTTGAATTAGATGACACTCAGAAGGACGTTTTTTTTTTTTTTAAATTATCTTTTGTCCCTAAAACAATTCAAGTGGAAGGACGTCAACTGTCTCCTGAATTGATGGTTTTAAATAGATTTTGTGCGACCGGCCGTTTCGTACGACTAGGTATCACTTTCAATTTGCTGCTAGTTGATGTCCACGGCTTTGACGTCTTTAGTCAATCCTCCGTTAGTTGATTGTGACGGACAGGTTGTACATTGAACCCCCTCCCCAACAGAGAATTAGCTACAGTCCCTCAGAAGGCTTAACCTCCCAGCAATCACAGCATGGTGTCAAAATGCAGTAATAAGTTGACTTCACACTCTGCTGTACCCTCACTCTGTCACTCCCTCATTGTGCAGAGGCCTTGTGGCCTCATTGAGAAAAAAAAAAAAACCAGAAGCTCCAGTGAGTCAGATTACGGGATGTGACAACGTGGAGGCTGCGTGTGGGCTTTCACACCATCAAACACACACACACTCTCACCAGCCTGTTTCATCCACGCATTTCTTTGTTTTATGCGCAAGTTGGGAAAATTGCTTTGACATTTCACTGAAAGGGACTGAGAAATATGTATGAAGAGTCATTTTCGGCTTGTCCCTTTGTCAGCGGTGGCCACAGCGGTAGCCGGTGTAGTGATTTGGCAGAGCTGTTACACCTGAAGCCCTGGTATTCGGGAGACTAGGTGGTAAGGCATGCCAAAACATCTGGGGGTAGGCTGCACCATTGTAACTGAAAAAAAGATAAATAATATGTTAATCAATGGAATACCGTGTACAGCTAGGCCAGGAGTGGGCAAACTTTTTGACCCACGGGCCACAACTGATCTGAAAATTTGGCAGGGGGGGCCGGGTCAGTAGCAGATAGATGGAGCGTTTATGTGAACAAAGATAAGACATGTAAAAGTCATGCATAAAGGCTAAAATGCTAAAAATGCTTAGGACCCCGGGCCTTAGTTTGCCCATGAAAAAAGTAAAGGGATATGACTGGATTCTTTTTGAATGAAGTATATACTGTATGTATAACTGAGGTACATTTTTTCACTGTGACCCACTGCGGCTTAGTATCAAATGACAGCCTCTAAAATGTGGGTATTGCAGGGGGAAAGACAGAAGTATAATCACAATACAAATGGGCCCGAGGTTCAGCACATGTTCTAGTAATATGTTCTAATAATGCCTTTACTAAAGCAACAAACCCAAGAAGCACAATTCAGCCACAGCTGACACGTAACAATAACATGATAAAATTACAATATTATTAAAAAAGACAAAAATGTATTTTACTCATTAAAACTTCTGATTATTTGTACACAAAATCCATCCATGCAAAGATGGTAACCCATCTTCTTTTCTATCTCCATCCATGCTAATGTAATATTAACATGATAAAATTACAATATTAATAAAAAAGACAAAATGTATTTTCATCGTTAAAAAAACTTCGTTATTTGTACACAAAATCCATCCTTGTAAAGATGGTTACCCAGTTCTACCAACAAGTTCTTTTCTATCTCCATCCATGCTAATGCGGAAAGATAATAATGCATAAAACACGACCACATTTATAGCAAAACAACTCGTATCCAGGAGTACCGTGACAGTACTTTACCAGGTACTATATGCATTTCCTCCACAGGGAGCAGTATTCCCCTAATGGGCTTTTCCTCTATCGTCAAATCCCCATTGAAGTCATCAAAACACACCGACTTTTCCTCCTGGCATGGCTTCAACAGATCAGGTAACAACGTCACATACAATCTCTGTGCTGAAGTTAAGGCCTGGCCACGACCACAGATGCTTTCACCGCTGCTGCTGTTGCTGCTGCTGGTGCTGCTGCCCGCTTCCTCCTCCCAGGAAATCATCAGGTACATGAGTCGACCTGATTGCCTCTCAGGCCTCAGTTCCTGGAATGTATTTCCAATGCCATTCAGCTGAAACCCCTGGCAGCGCGATCACTCTCCTAATTTCCCCTGTGCCTGTGAAACTACACTGTGAATGATGCAGGCTGAAGACAAACAGTGTTCTTAAACCCTGCTCTGCCTCTCATCCCGTCGCTAAAACTTCCAGACCACGAGTCTGTTCCATTTTTTAGAAGAAGTTTCTTTCTTCTTCTTCTTTTTTAAACCATCTCTGCAGTGTTAGCAGATTTTTTTTTTTTTTTTTGCTTTTAATTACCGAGAAATGGCATTGACAAATGAGTAAATCACACAACCAAATGTTAGAAAAGAAATATTGAAGGAGTAAAAGGCTAATGATAGTAAAGCAGAAAAGCTGGAAGTAATTAAAAAAAAAGAAATATCAGCCAAAAATTTTACAAGCAGAAAAAACATATGGGTAATGTAGCAAAAAAATATTAACATTATGAATAATAATGCTAATAATAATAAAAATAACAATAATATTACTAATAATAATAACAATAATAATAATAATAATAATAATAATAATAATAATAACAATAACAATAATAATAATAATAATAATAATAATAATAATAATAA